TTAACTGCCAAATATACATTTATGCATATATAAAGAGAAATAATCATTCGAATTAGTTTGTACTTAATATTTAAATTCTACGTATTAAAACAATGAATATATAAGTTTTTTGATGAGATCAGGGCTCAGAAACTGATCTAAGGGCCGATTTTACATTCTTTATCATATCTACGGAACGAATTGATGGAATTTCTTGAAATTTGATATTTTATTTCAGGTTGTTAACAAAAAAACTGGTGAGCATTTCAGGAAACAGCACAAAGCGAAACTCTACTAAGAATCAAATTTATATTTTCTAGGTTTCTATAAGCTTACTAATACCCTCAAAATTGGAAGAAGCATTTAGCAGGCATTTGTATAATATTCTGTAACACTTTCACTTAACTAGACAATACAAATTTCGGTCGGTTATGTGTTGACCACATCAGATTTTTAGTATGGCTAGTAAAAGGCTTGAAAGCAATATATTACCTCATTTTGTATTTTATGTACTTTCGGAATACCATGCATTCGATCTTTGGAAAAACACAAATTTTTTTCATTTTGTGACGAATGGAATTTCTTCAAACTTGATATTTGAGTTCTGGTTATTACTGAAATTAACTGGTGAACCTTTTATGCGATTCGCGTAGCACCAAGCGAAATTCTACTAATAGCCAAATTTATACTTTTCTCGGTATGTTAGCTAAAAGCTTGCTAACTTCCTTAAAATTCAAAGGAAGTGTTTAAAATGCATTTTAACAATTTTCTGTAAAACTATTACTAAACTAGGCAATATACATTGCGTTCGGTTATGTGCTGAACCTCTTTAGACTTTTTTTAAAAATGTTGTACAACAACCTTTTTTATAGTTCAAAATAATAAATTCAATATAATTTCATGCAAATAATAATAAAAAAATTAACAAAAAAAATTTTTCGTAAAAGATTATCGGGATTGCTGTTGTACTTCGATTGGAGTATTTGTCATATATCCATATATAACACAATATATTTTGCTAATTGTTCGGTAAAAATAAATTTTTGTAAATTGTTCTGGAAGTGCAATTACCAAAAAAGCTATAATGGATAATGATTTGCGGTTAGCCTAGATTTAGTGAAAACTTAGTTAAGTAAATACTTAATTTCTATAATTAATGCATATTAAGCAGTATCGGAAATTGTCTGTAATTTTTTTGAAAATATATGACTTTTCCTGGGAAATTGGCATACAAGAAATAAATTTATTTTTATACAACGTAAAAGTTTTTGTTTTTACCGACCGTATTGTTTAAACAATAGGTAGGTTATGTGATGGCAACAAATTTTGCATATCGAGTTTTCGGTGGGAACGTACTTCTCCATAGTAGGGAAGTGTAAATAAACTATTTTTAACAATCTGTCGGTCTGTCGGTCTGTCGGTCTGTCCGTCTGTCGGTCTGTGTGTGGACAGACCGACAGACGGACAGACCGACAGACTCTGTATCTGTTCGGCTGAACCGATTTTGATGAAATTTTATATGTAAGTTTGTTTCCACCATGGCACGGATCGATCAACTTTTGGTATATATCAGGCCTCGGGAACTGCACTTTTTAGCGGGCCTGTTTTACATTTTTGAACATTTTGAAGAAAGTATTCAACCGATTTACTTGAAATTTTATATATAAGCTCAGCTCGACCTTCCGCAAAAATTCGTATGTTTTGGAAGAAAGCAGGCATCGGCAACTAGACGTTTACTACGGGCCAAATATACATTTTTGTGTATATAAAGAGAAATAATCAACCGATTTCATTGAAATTTGATATATGAACTCCTCGTATTAAAACAATGAAGATATAAATTTTTTGGAAAGATCAGGGCTCGAAAACGGATTTGCGGGCCGATTTTACATTTTTCACCATTTTGAAGAAAGTATTCAACCGATTTACTTGAAATTTCATATATAAGCTTTGCTCGATCATACGCAAAAATTCCTAGATTTTGGAAGAAATCAGCCATCAGCAACTGGGCGTTTACTACGGGCCAAATATACATTTTTGTGTATATAAAGAGAAATAATCAACCGATTTCATTGAAATTTAATATATAAATTCCCCGTATTAAAACAATGAACATGTAAATTTTTTGGAAAGATCAGGTATCGGCAACTAGACGTTTACTACGGGCCAAACATACACTTTTGTGTATATAAAGAGAAATAATCAACCGATTTCATTGAAATTTAATATATGATTTCCTCATATTAAAGCAATGAACATATAACTTTTTTATAAAGATCAGGGCTCGACAACTGATTTGCGGGCCGATTTTACATTTTTCACCATATCCACAGAACAAATTGATGGAATTTCTTGAAATTTGATATTTGAGTTCTGGTTGTTACCCAAACTAACTGGCGAGCATTTCAGGGAATTCGGGTAGCACAAAGCGAAACTCTACTAAGAGCCAAATTTACATTTTTCTAAGTATGTTAACTATAAGCTTACTAATGTCCTAAAAATTGGAAAGAAGTATTTAACAGACATTTTTATAATATTCTGTAACACTTTCATTTAACTAGACAATACACAATGCGGTCGGTTATGTGCTGACCACATCAGATTTTTTTATTTTGGTTTTGCATTAATCCATTGAATATAAAGTGATTTGCACAGTAAAGAAATAATTTTTGTTATACATATTGTGTAGGTGTATTTTTTTGCGTTTTTGGAGTCCTTCCAAATTAATCGGTTTTTTAATTTAAAAAGCTCCTCTTTCCATAAACCACACATCACTTATAGAAACGATTAAAAAAAATATATATTTTCCATGTATTGCGATTACGATAGAAATAAAGTTTGTTATTGTATAAAAAATTAAAAATAAAAAAACAAAAAATTGAAGAGAAAAGAAACAACATTAAAATCTTAATTTTAATTCGTAATATCCGAAAGGCAGTGAAAAAAAATTTATTACAGTTCAACTGCAGTGGTAAAACAGTAGTGAAATTTTAGGTGGATAAAAATTTTTTCCTACGGAAATAAGTTTTTAGAAAATATATAAAATTTCAACTGTCAATCTTAAAGGGTGGAGAAGTTTTGTAGACATATCCATGGACAGACCGACTGACAGACGGACGGACGAACGGATGGACAGATGAACAGAGTGAAACTAATAAGCACTTTTTTCAAATTTTTTTCAAAGACCGAAGATTATGGAAAATATTTCAATGTAGCTGACTTCACATTGACAAAATTTTAATAAATAACTAATAAGAATGAAATTAGTGAAAATAACAATGTAATTGTAAAAAAGAAATCTGATGTGGCCAGCACATAACCCATCGCAATATGCATTGTCTATTTAAGTTCCAGAATATTATAAAAATGTCTGTTAAATACTTCTTTCCAATTTTGAGGACATTAGTAAGCTTATAGTGAACATACCTAGAAAAATGTAAATGTGGCTCTTAGTAGAATTTTCCTTTGTTCTACCCGAATTCCCTGAAATGCTCGTCAGTTAGTTTCGGTAACAACCAGAACTCAAATATCAAATTTCAAGAAATTCCATCATTTCGCGCCATAGATATGATGAAAAATGTAAAATCGGCCCGCGGATCAGTTTTAGAGCGATGATCTTTCCAAAAAAATTTATATGTTAATTGTTTTAGTACGAAGAATTTAAATATTGAATTTCAATGAAATCGGTTGATTATTTCTCTTTATATACGCAAAAATGTATATTTGGCCCGTAGTAAGCCTCTAGTTGCTGACGTCTGATTTCTTCCAAAAGTTAGGAGGTTTTGCGGATGGTCGAGCGAAGTTTATATATAAAATTTCAAGTAAATCGGTTGAATATTTTTTTTAAAATGGTCAAGAATGTCAAACAGACCCGCTAAAAAGTTCAGTTCTCGAGGCCTGATATTTCCCAAAAGTTGATCAATCTGTGCCGTGCGTGCACACACAAACCGACAGGTTGCTCAAAATAGTTTACTTACACTTCCCTGCTGTGGAGAAGTGCACTCCCACCGAAAACTCGATATGCAAAATTTGTTGCCATCACATAACCTACCTATTGTATACACAATACGGGTACGGTCGGTAAAAATACAATATATAACAATAATATCGTCATTGTTATTAGAATAGCCAAAAAGCGGAATAGCCAAACTGTGTGTTGTTATCTAGCAAATATTTTATTATTAAAGTATGGTTACAGGGTGGAGGGATGCAGATGTATTTGTTTTCGAGCTACAGCCAATTGACAAAAAGAAGCTAATATTAATATGCTGATTTTTCCTTCATATTAATATCATGCTTTTAACTTCGAAACCATGGGAGATAGAGTAATCATGTGAGTATCAATTTTATTTGAGACATAGTTTTTGAGATAAAGCTTGTCCAAGTCAGAAGTTTTGAATTCTGCTAAAATTTATATGGATTTCATATTTTCTCAAAATTTGTTCTTCTTTTTTTTCTGTTTTATTTCCGATTTACATTCATATTGCTTTAGTTGAATCCAATACATGAAGTAGGGTTTTATTAATATGACTTTACTTTTTAAGACCTGGAAAACCATTTTGCTGACAAGCTGTTATTTCAAAAAACATCTTTCAAGTTTTATTTAACCTTTGCGTCAATGACTTAAGTATTAATAAAAACGACTTAAGAATGAGCCTATTACTCTAGCACAGTATTGTGTCAAAATTTTTGTAAATTATTGTGTTCACATACCGACGTAATGGCAAACCAGTTCAAAAATTATATGTGCTTTAAATTTCAAAAGCATTTGTAGTATTCAAAGCTATGAATTAATAATCAATGAGGTCTTCAAAGTTTCGAATAAACGTTTCTTATTCCATGGCGTTTTTATTATATGTACATAATTTAATTAGTTTTCAATTTTATACATTTTACACAATCATTAATTTCTACGTATCTTTGTTGAAACACCACAAAACACTAAACATTGCACAATTAACCGTTATTAATTAACTGGAAGTCTTAAAAACATACAATAAAAATGCAAATTTTCATTTCAGTTACTTTTTTTGAGTATATATCTGCTCATAAAATAATACATTTAAAATGAATTAAAAATAAATAAAAACACTTGCCATATATTTAAAGACTCTTTAAGAAAAAATCAAAGCAAATGGCTAGCTGTGATAAAAATAGTAAAATACTTAATTTTAGTAAATATTATGAAAAAACAAGAATATTATTGAAATACTATATAAAATATGCAGGAATTTCCAACTGTTGACACAAAGTTTCCAAAATTTATTTTATTTCAAGTAACATTGAGTACAATTTATTAAAAAATTATCTATGCTTAAAGATTATTATTTCTGCTTTTTTAGTAAATATGATAACTACAATATTATCATTAAGTCTTATAATTACGACTATTATTATACATTTTTATTCTTACTAAATTATTGCAATTTATTGAAATTAGTAAAATATAAAACATGAAATCAGAAAAATAAAGAAATTATTAAAATATCATTGTAAAAAGTTTTTTAGTTTTATTTAACGAATTTTACCATTACATATACGAGATATATAAATGTTAGGTGTATATTTAGTTAAACAAATATGTTGTAGAATCAGTAATGGTATTTTAAAAAGGAGATTGGTTGTATAAAATAATTCAAAATGACTATGTGGCAAAGTGGCGGTATGGGAGGCCACGGATCCCAGAACAATCCATGGATGAAGTTAATGGGAATAGTTTCCCATAAGGAAAGAAGGCATGACAACGTTCAAAGTCAAAGTGGGTCAAACGACAGAAATCTAAATCAGTAAGTATTAAATATAATCTGATAAATTTACTCTCTAATATACAAATGCCCACTACCATTTATTAAAGGAAGGCAAATAAAACATTAAAATCAATCACAAGCCATTACGGTTTTGTAAAATATTTATTCGTAACATTTTTCTGTTAATAATATTTTTTAATTTTAACGCAACATTATAGTGACTGTAATTAGAAATCTTTTCTCAACTATTTTAAAAGAGCAAATAAAAGATTAAACTGCTTACAGAAACTTTTTCGACAAAAGAGTGGCTTCTATACCACGAAAGGAGTGGACGACCACGAAAATAGCTATAGACAAAAATAGGATCTTTTATTTCGACAGACTAATATAGTTCAAAAAACCACTTAGTGATTTCCCCCATTTTACATATAAATACAAGAAAAGTTTCTTGAAATTCGCAAAATTCATTCATTTACTCGTAAAAGCTATTTTGTAATGAAAAAAAATCCCATTAACAGACAGACTGACAGGTTGCTAAAAATAGTTTACTTACCGAAAACTCGATATGCAAAATTTCTTGCCATCACATAACCTACTTATTGTATACACAATACGGTCGGTAAAAAGAAGCAAGACAAATTGTTTTGTTATTTTGTTATGTTCGTTTGTTCTTTTATTATTTTGTCAAAATAAATTTAAACTTTTGACACTATGACTTGAATTTTTAAAAGTTATTAGATCTCAATCCAACCCAAAACTTTAACTTAGCAAGTCGTTACTCTACAATCATTAATTTTACAAACTATACAATATCTTAATTAAAATATTTGGATCGACCACTTTATTAGTGCTTGAGCCGTTTAAAAACCGAAAAGTTCTGAATAGTTAATACTTCTTTAGCCTCATTTCAAATGATTGTAACAAAATAGATTTCGTTTGGCTCGACTTGGCAGATTTAATGGATATAATGGATGAAATATGATGGAAAGCTTAAACTTTGATTGCGTAAAACTTGTTTGCATAACATGATTATGTATCTAATAAAAAAAACAACACCCATTGTACTTTTGCAAAATTCAAAAGTAAAGCGTTTTAAAAAATACTTTATTAAAATTAGTTATGTATAAGATAAAACACCTAGGAAAGAGCCAGCCTCTTTAAGCAAAGTTTCATTTTAATTGAATATTTAAAAAATATTTTTTAACTTAGCATTGTAAAAGTAATTTACAAATAACCTTTGCGTATTCCAAATTAATTTAAGTTTTTGAAAAGAAGATATTTCAAAAAAGGAATACATAAAAATAAAAAAAATTAAAAAACCACACAATTTGTACATTTGAAGTCTTTATGACTTTTGTTTTTTTTAAAACTTTTTCAGTTTTAATTTTCATACGGTTTTCATTTTATTTTTGAGTGCTAATTTGTTGTCCGAATCATATGTTGCTTTTTGAGCCGATTTTGCAAAGTTGACATTGGTACCGAAACTTCTTAGCAATAATGTGAATTCAAGAACAACTTTTGACTTCATCAAGTGATAGTTGTAAATATTCTTTGTCGTTTGTACGCAATTTTATCATTTTTAGTTATCGTACTATTAACATTTCAACACTGAAAAGAATCAGCTAAATTTACTATTACAGTAAATTAAGTAATTTTGATTAATATAGTAACGGAAATTACTGTAACTGTAATGTTCGAAATATAGGACACGAAATCTATTCAAAAAATTAAAATAAATAATATATTGGTCAAAAATAAAATAGCCCAATAATTGGGCCTGTTATGAACTTTATTTATCTTACGATATACGTTATCTTATTGTAAAATTTATTTGTTGATATTAGATATATACAGTAATCCGTCTTTATTACTAATAAGTTTACTATTCTTATAACCATAAGTTTACAATTTTTGAAAGTCAACTTTCGACATCTTATAACTTGTACAACTTTCTTAAATGATAAAGTGGTGCGTTATAACCTTTTGAATTCTCTAACAGATTTGCTTGAAATAAATCATTTACGTATTAAGTCATTTATGTATTATTCATTATAATAAATATTCTTTATGTAATTCTAGTGTTGATTCAATTAAATTTGCTCTGTTGATGAAATTATTATATCATTCACACAAACGCATAATATATTATTTTTCTTTATTTTCTTTTTTATGGTCAAACATCTTTCTTAAGTTTTACAAAATTCATCTTGACAAGTATTTTATTAAGTATGCAATACCAAGCCTTTCCAGCTTTTTGCGTCATTTCTGGATAAGGCTTTACTTACATTTTCCCAACAGCGCGTTGACCAATTTATTTACTTATTTATTTATGTTTAGCTCAAACATTTTACACAACTTAAAATTAAAGAATGCATATGTATACAGATATTTATTTTTTAGACAGAACAAACTCTTGACTTAAAAATTAAATTTAAAAATTATAAAAAATAAAACTTATTAGTAATAATACTCCATTAAATATGAATACAAATAATAAAAAACTAAAACAAGAATTTGTTAAAATAAAGGAAAGGGTTATACTTAACTATAAGTAAATAGAAGATTTTTCATCGTGTCTTTCTTCATTGAAAAGTCAAGTCTGTGTTTGTGTTTATAGATTTAATCAGTTTTCGTAAGCTGAAAAATGAATAACAAATCATTTTTCACAGTGTGCGTAGGTCAATTAACTTGAGTCTGTGCTCGTAAGGTGGAAGAATGATGGGGTCTTCCCAAGGAAGAAGGCGCAATGAGAACCTGGAAAAATATTTTTGAATAGACTCAATCCTATTAATATGTATATCGTAATAGGGCGACGATACTTGTGAAGCATATTCAAGATGAGGCTGGACTAGGCATGTGTCTCTACACATTTTTAAGACATAAGAATCATTAAACTCCTTTGACCAGCGTTTAATGAAACCTAACATCGAGCTTGATCTGCATAAGATATGATTGTAGTGGTTTATGAATGATAACTAGCTATCGAAGCAAACACCCAGGTCCATTATTGAATCACATAGGGAAGCACATGTGTGCACATTTACTTGCATTGATTTATAGGTTATTACTTGAGCACCACCCGTAGAAGCGGTTAGGATCATTCTGAAGACACATCGCATCATTTGTAGAGCATATTTTTTTGAAAATTTTCATGTCATCAGCATATATTAATACCTCACTGCGCATGGAAACAACATCATTAATTGAAATTATGAAGAGCAGTGGACCTAAGTGAGGGGTACACCAGAATTAGACGAAAGAAGTGAGGAAATTGCTGAACGAAAGAGAACTCTGTAAGTCCTGCCAGAGAGATATGACTTTATCCAGGCTAAGAAGTTGTCAGGGAATCCTAAGCAGGGAATCCTAAGAGTTTCAATTTTAAAATAATAATTTCATAAGGTGGTATGTCTTTAACCTTAAAGGTTTATTTATGAATATTGTCATATACCATCAACTCAAAAACCTTAGGAATTGCCGACAGTTTAGCTATAAGACGATAGTTTGACACGTCATTTTTATTGTTTTTCTTATGGATTGGCCTAACGAAAGCTTTCTTCCACACGGAAACCAAAATGCCTGAAGAATAAGACTTATTAAAAATTACGGTTAAGATGGGCGCCAGAGAAGAGCAGCACCTGCTTAAAATAATCCCAGGAACTCCATCTGGTCCAGGAGAACGACTAGAACCCAAATTGGAAAGATATTTTTCAACCGCAAAAGAGTCCGTGGCAAAATTTGTAAAGGTAGTTTTAGGATAGTTATCAATGTGCCGAAATTCATCAACATCTAATTGAAAAGATGGAAAAGGGTAAGATTCGGCGAAAAAGTTACAAAAAAAATTCGGAAATAGTTTGGGAATTATTACTTGTATTCCCGCCGAATATCAAGAAGGTTGGATAATTATCCCTTTTCCTCTTATGCTTATAGATATATCTTATAGATATACTAGTCGTAACGTTCTTTTGCTGCTAATTTAAATTGATCATACGACAATCGGAAGTTATCATAGTCCCTGCCGCCTTTAATGGAGAGATATTTCCGCCACAGCTTATTCTTTTTGTTGCGAAGTACCCTCCACTCTTGTGAAAACCATGAAAGGCCAGAGCCAGTATTTTTAGTTTTCAACACTGGAATAAACAATTCAAATGCAGGAAAAATGATTTCGTAAAACTTACCCGTCATAGACTCAATATCAGTAAAGTTAAACAGCTAAAGAAGTCGTAAGTAGAAAAGAAATCATTTAGCAATGCGAAATTCGCCCTTTTAAAATCAAAACGATAAAAAAGGGGCTCGTTAAAGACAACCCTTTCGAAGGCCTCGATCTCTATCATCCCCATCACTAGATGAATTAGTTAAGTTACAGTCCTCGAGAACATCGGTGGAATGGATTACGTTATCTGAATTTGATTTACTTTCTTGATTTGGAGCCTCACTTTCATTAATAGTTGAATGTTTGAATGATTGTTCAATTTCACTAGTTTATTGTTTCGAAACCTATTCAACTGGCATATCTTCAAATTCAAAAATTGAAAAATCGGCACCAGAACTCTTAATACAATTATCTTAGAATTTAACATCCCTTAATATTCAGCCATCTTATAAGACGTCACACATTAAAATGTATGAGGTGACATATTTGCTACTTGATGCGTGTCTCACTATTTATCACAAAAGGCATCCATAAAGTTATTCTAGCAGACGTATTTTTGAAAATTGTTACAGTTTTTTGTTACATTTAGTCACTAGGATCATTGTTTTTGATTTATCTTTTAATCTGCACTGCGATGAGTAGTGCTCTTTCTTACCACATCCAAAATATTTACCTGAAAATTTTTATTGCTAGATTTACCAGACAATGTCTGGTCATTACAATAAAAAAAAATCTGATGTGGTCAGCACATAACCGACCTCATTGTGCATTGTCTAGTTAAGTGAAAGTGTTACAGAATACTATAAAAATGACTGTTAATTACCTCTTTCCAATTTTTAGGACATTAGTAAGCTTATAGTTAACATACCTAGAAAAATGTAAATTTGGCTCTTAGTAGAGTTTCGCTTTGTGCTACCCGAATTCAATGAAATGCTTGTCAGTTAGTTTCGGTAACAACCAGAACTCAAATATCAAATTTTAAGAAATTCTATGCATTAGTTCCGTAGATATAGTGAAAAATGTAAAATCGGCCCGCAGATCAGTTTTCGAGCCCTGATATTTCCAAAAAATTTATATGTTCATTGTTTTAATACGAGCAATTCATATATTAAATTTCAATGAAATCGGTTGATTATTTCTCTTTATATACGCAAAAATGTATATTTGGCCCGTAGTAAACGTCCAGTTGCTGACACCTGATTTCTTCCAAAAGTTAGGAGGTTTCGCGGCCGGTCGAGCGAAGCTTATATATTAAATTTCAAGCAAATAGGTTGAATAGTTTCTTCAAAATGGTCAAAAATGTAAAACAGGCCCGCCAAAAAGTGCAGTTCCCGAGGCCTGATATATCTCAATAGTTGATCAATCCGTGCCATGGTGGAAATAAACTTACATATAAAATTTTATAAAAATCGGTTCAGTAGAACTTTAGATACACGCGTGCACACACAGACCGACAGACCGACAGGTTGCTAAAAATAGTTTATTTACACTTCCCTCCTATGGAGAAGTGCATTCCCACCGAAAACTCGATAAGCAAAATTTGTTGCCATCACATAACCTACCTATTGTATACACAATACGGTCGGTAATAATAAGAATTATTTTTATCGTGTTGGGAATTTGATTTAAGTAATATAGTTGTTCTGAACTCTCAAAGGCATAGAAATTTTCTTCCATATTACATCAACGTCGATCTTCTTCTAGCAATTTGGCTTTTACCGAATTCAACAAAGGTCATCTCATGTTTCGCGGGTGAGCACAAAATATTTCATAAGCTGTTCGAAAACTAGACAACAGAAAACCTTTACGAAGCTTTTTCGGGAAAATTTCATCCAGTTAAATTAATTTTTTCTCGAGCTTCAAACAAACTTTTGTAAATGGTCGTTTAGCAAATCGTTTCTTTCGTTTCTTGTCCAACTAATTCTTTGAAGAAAAATATTTTTGACGCAGGTCCTGAGGTTTCGTGTACAACTTACAACTTCTCCCATGCTTCTTTAGATGACGTACAAATTTTTATAAGTAAAAGTTGATTTTAATCGATAATATAATGGTAGCTAAGCCTGCTGATGCTTTTTAATCCATTCATTCAAATCTTCTAATTTTGGTTTAACGACGATACCATCTTAATAGTTCCAAAGACATTTTTGAATCGATGTACTTTTCATCCGTACTCTCCATACTAAACAATTATTTTCACCCAATTTCTCAACTTATTACCGACCGTATTGTGTAAACAATAAGTAGGTTATGTGATGGCAACAAATTTTGCATATTATCGAGTTTTCGGTGGGAACGTACTTCTCCATAGTAGGGAAGTGTAAATAAACTATTTTTAACAATCTGTCGGTCTGTCGGTCTGTCGGTTTGTCGGTATGTCCGTCTGTCGGTCTGTGTGTGCACGCGTGTATCTCATGTTCGGCTGAACCGATTTTGATGAAATTTTATATGTAAGTTTGTTTCCACCATGGCACGGAGCGATCAACTTTTGGTATATATCAGGCCTCGGGAACAGCACTTTTTAGCGGGCCTGTTTTACATTTTTGAACATTTTGAAGAAAGTATTCAACCGATTTACTTGAAATTTCATATATAAGCTTTGCTCGACCGTCCGCGAAACTCCCTAGCTTTTGG